AGTCCCGAGCGGCCGAGGCGGAGCGCCCTCTCCTGCCCGAGGGCCCGCCCCCTACTCCCGGGGCCCCAGACCCGGCCCCGCCCTGGAGGCTGCGCCCGCCCTGCCCGAACCCGGTTTGTCTGGTTCTCCCCGAGAGACTTGTTTCTCGAATTTCCCCCTTTCCCCCTCTTCCCGGACCTCCGGGCCCTCCCTCTCGGCCTGGCTCCTCGGGGCCCCCGCGAGGGGCGTCTCGACACCGTGAGCCCGCCGAGTTTCGGTAGGACCCGCGACGGGCGCGTGGGAGGGGACGCGGAGCGCCTGGGGCCTGGGCCGGAGCGGGGTGGGGGGTGGGGAAGGGAGCCCTCCAGCCCGCCCTCCCGACCTCGCCCGCGCTCCAGATCCCTCCCGCCACCTGGTTCTTCGCACGCGCTGAAGAACCACCGCTCCTCTTGGCCTAGGACGCAACTTTATTGAGGATGTGGGTGCCGGGTCTTCGTCGCCTATCACCTACCCCCTCCTCCAAGCCTGCCCTAGCTCTTCTGAGCCCTTGTACGGTCCCAGAAGGGGTTAAAACAACACTGACTACTGCTCCTGGACAGGAAGTGACTGGGGAGCGGGGCGGGGGTGGTGTTGGTGAAGCGGCACAGGCTAGCTCCGCGACCAGATGTGTGGTTCCAACTCCAGATGTTCTTCATCTCCATCCGACCTGCCGTCTGAGCTCCTCCCCTGCCTCGGCCTGTGCCAGGCTGGGCAGTGGATGGAGGTCACCCGGAGACAGTGAGGGGTCATTCCCACCCCACCCCCCCGCGACAAGGGAGGAGTCGTCAGTGGGGGCTCTGGTGAAGGGACCCTGCAAGCCTCCACTGAATCCTTTCCCCCACCCTTGGAGGTGCTAGGGGATGCTCGGGTCACTCGCAGGCCAGCTTCCCGTCGAAACTGGAGAGGGCGACGGCGAAGGCCTGCAAGGCGCACAGCGGGTAGCGGTAGTCTAGGGTGAAGGCGTCCTCCGCCACGCGGCCGAACTGCAGCACGATATAGTCGGCTATGGACACAGACGGGTGGAGGTGGCCCGAGACTTGAGTTCTCGTCCTGGCAGACAGTGCCCTCGGCATTGAGGAAAGACCCCCTCCCTTGCATTGGGGCCCCAATCCTTAATCACCATCTCAAATTATTCACCCTCCATCCGTCACCCACCCAACAAGCTCCACCTACCTTCAGCTTTACCGGCCTTGACTATAAGCCCCTGAGGGCAGGGACCCTGCCTTACCCTCTGCTGCCCAAGGCTATGCGTATGACTTGCTCACACTCACTTATAGAAACCGGTCAAACTTCCTCAAGACTAGACTCCTTCCTTTCCAATGTCTCTGTTGTCTTCTAGCCCCATTCCTTCTTCTCACGCCCAGACCCCAAAGCCTGTCTTAGACCACCAGGCTCTATCTCTTAACTGGCCCCATGGTTGGCTTCTTCATCCAGTGGCCCCACTCATCCCGTATCCCATATCTGGCCCAGGTTCTCAGCCTCAAACCCAACACCTCCCCCAGCATCCATAGGGACAGGATGTTGCTAAAAATACACTCAACCTCAGCAAACTAGGCTCCACCAGAAATGTGATCTGGAGAGTGGTTTTTCAAGGCTTCAGGACAGGTGACGCTGGGGGCACATCCCTAGGATGGAGTCGGGGGTGGGGAACTCTCTCAGTGTTAGCCAATCCTCGGAACATGGAGAGTCCCTGGGAGATATCTTTCCATACCCAAACTTATTCACCCTAGTGGAACCTCACCCCCAGGCTTGTAACAGGGACATTTTTACTTAATTGTGTTCCAGGTACATCTTGTTTCCCTACGTGTTCCGGGGGCAGGCCTTTGACCTCACTGGAGAGGGGACAATAGGGTAGGCACTCAGAAAAGCTTGACTTACATTTTCTACTCCTAAATGCTGTTAGGAGCTGGGGCACTGGAGTCAGAGTACCTGGGTTCTACTCCCATCTCTACCTCTTACCAGTTGTATGTACAAGTTAACTTAACCTTTCTGTATCTCAGTTTTCTCGTCTGCTAAATAGGGAAGATAATAATATTACTTTCCTCACAGGTTGTTGAAAGGATTTAATGATTCAGTATCTGTGAAGCCCTGAGAAGAGTGCTTGCTCCACAGAAAGCATTGTAAGTGTTTATGAAGTAAATTTTGTGGGCCAGTGTATCTGCCTGGAGTTGCTGAGAGACTTGGGTAAGGCGCTGCCCTCTCTGAGCCTCAGCATTCTCCTTGACCACGTAGGGGTTGGGCTATCAGTGGTTTTTAAACTCCAGCCATGTAACTGTCCCTTTAACACTCTTACCCAGAATACCCCAGTATCTATCCCAGGCAGGCTCTGGTCAATGCTAGAATGAGGGCCTGGAGCAATGAGCCTCAAGACACCTACTCAGAATATCTGAGGCTCTTGGGAGCACAGTGTCAATGCCCCCGAAGAGGACAGTGACCTTCCTGGAAGAGAGATGGTGGGGAAGACTTGAGTGAGGGTTGGGGTCCTGGAGGTGGTGAGAACAGCCTGGCTTGGGCCCTCAGATACTCACGGTCATCAGCATGGACAATCTGGAAGTTCTTGACTGAGGCCTGGGTGACTCGGCCTTGGAAGTTTAGGGTGTAGGAGCCACTGTCTTCATTCCAGATGGGGGGCTTGTTGTGTAACTCAATGAGGCTCTCCAGTGTCTTGTTCTGCCAGCGCACCAGCAGCCCGTCGCTGGCCTGGGGTGCCAGAGGGGCAGGGGTAATATTAGGGAGAGGACAGTTAGGGGTGGCTCAGATATCTCAGGACTGATGGGGGAGAGGGCCCCGGGACTTATGCATGCCCTTGTACATGGCAGCCTGGATGATGAAATGCATGCGGAGTATCCTTGAGCCCATGCTTGGTCTCTGTGGTGTGCTTATGGGCAGGGCATACATCTGTGAGATTGTGTTTTGCTGTGGGGTGCCAAAGTGGAGGGTTGGAAACTGGAAGTGGCATCTGACACACAGTAGGTACTCTGTGCCATTGGTACCCCAGAGGTCTTAGGCATAGCCATATGCATATGTTGGCACCGATTACAAGGATGAACCAGACAGTCTAGGAATTACAAGGAGCTCACAGTTGAGCTTGGAGAGATGTACAGGTAAAGAGTAGTAAGAAATAAATTGTCCTGGGAGAGTACCTGGAAGGAGGGAGCAGGGTCTCTGCAATGGTGCTCTTGAGATATTTCTTTCCTCAGTTTTTGTCTCCTGTTCATATTCATGGCTTAGAGTGAGTCCACTCAAGAACATGTCCTCCAAGAACCCTTTCTGACCCCATGTGTGATTTAGATGTCTTAGTTCTGAGCTTCCATGACACCGTGCCCTTCCCATTTCTCCCAATGCACTGCCATGGACAGAATTAGATACTCTAACGCAGGCACAGTGTTTGATTAACAGTTCTGCGCCTTGGTTTCCCTCACCACAACATATTGTGAGGATTAAATAGTTAATGGTACATAAAATGTTATTTAGATCAGTTCCTGGCACAGGGTTAATGCTCACTAAATGTCAGCTATTGTTTTGATGGTAACTGTTGTGTTGATTTTGGATCTTCAGTTTGTGCTTTTAGTAAGTGATTGTAGAATGAATGAACTGTGAGATGATGAAGAGCTATCTAAAGCAGCACTAGGTATTTCTTACCAAGCCCAAACACATGCGGGAGGCGCTGCCTCTGGAGGATTTCTGCGTTTATTCCAGGCATGGAAGGAGCAACTGGGGGACCCACAGGTTCCTAAAGACCGGAGTGTCCCAGGGTTTGTGGCCCATGGGTTGGCCAAGCTTCTGATTATGGCATGACTTTCCAGCAGGGAAGATGTGTGATTAGCTGATAGGGGTATTCTTTTTCATTGTAAATAAGTAAAGTGACATCGCTGTGAGTATGGGACATGCCAGTCATCATCTGTGGAATCCTGGGCTCACCCAACTTGCAGTGCTAAGGGGCAGAGCGTGGGACTGACATGCTGAAGGAGGCCACCTCTTTCCAGGCCACCCCTGCATCTTAACCTATCTATACCTCTCCCTCTTTCCCTCTCCCTCTCCCTCCCTTCCTCTCTCTCTCTCTCTCTCTCTTACACACACACACACACACACAAACAACTTTTGCTTTTTAAAATGCTAGTCAAATCATGTTACTCCTTTACTCAAAACCCTGCTATGGTTTCCTATTTCTTGGAGTAAAAACCAGCTTTACAGGCTTGTCTGCCCCTCACTCTCACCTCTCTGACCTCATCTCCCTCCCTGCCACACTGGCCACTTGCTGTTTCTCAAACCCATCAGGCATTGTCCTGCCTGAGGGCCTTTGCACTGGCTCTTTCCCCTGCCTGAATGATCTTTTCCCAGATATCTGCAGACTTTCTTCTCACTTCATTCAAATTTCATCTTCTCAATGAGGCCCACTCTAACCACTGTATTTTTATATCAAAACCTATTCACACACCCACTTCTCATCTCCATCTCCCTTCCCTTGTTGGACTTCTTTTTTTCCACAGCACTTATCACCTTCTAACATACTACACAATTTTCTTATTTATCACAGTTACGGTCTACTGTCTGCCTCCACTAGAATACCAGCTTCACGAGGGCAGATCTTTGTTTTGTCCACTGATGTCTCCAGTTGCTTAGAATAAAACTTGGCACTCAATATTTGTGTGTTAAATGAATATATGAATGATTTGTTGTAAACTGGAAAAAAAAACCTATTGTGCTTGTTTCAGTGAATTCAGTGACAACCCCCCCCCCCGAATTCATTCCACAAGTTGCCAGAATGAATTTGTGATAGGACGATGGGCGTTCTCAGGGGGATGAGTACTGGGCAGGCTGAACCCCCAGCCCCCAGCTCCCCCAGAGTGGGTCACCAGTGGATCACGTTGGGAGCAGGACTCTCAGGGAGAGGCGTAAGGGAGGTGCGGGGCTCACATTTCGGGGCCGGATGGGTACCCTCTCGTTTTCCGAATTCATGCCAGGAATGATGACCGTCATGCGCCGGGGACCTCGGAAGCCCAGCACGTTGGTTTCCTGGGAAGGAGATGCCCGTCAGGCCGGCCTCTGCAAGGGGAGGGGCCGGCCTCGGGGAACAGGTGGGGTTCTCACATAGATCACAGCTGCCAGCTCCTGCCGGAGGCTCCCCACAGCAGTGCTGCCTCCGCGGTGCGGGTTCTGCCCATTGTCGAAGGCTGTAAAGCGGTTTCCCAGGAGGTTGGACCTGCAAGCAGGGTGGGGCATGGGGGCGGGGCTGAGGGGATTCCACACCTCACATCCGAGACCCTTCCTCACAGTCAAGCAGCTTTGAGAGCCACCCACCTCAAGCGTGGGTGTGTCTTAGGACCAGAAGATATCTATGGCTCCTGCCCCTGGCTTCCCCAGTGAGGTCATTTTAAAAGCTCAATCTAGGAGGGGACTGACCAGCTTTCAAATCTCAGCTCCATCTCATACTAGCTGTGTGACCCCAGGCAAGTTACTTAAACTCTTAGCCACAACTTCCTCCATCTGTAAAATGGGCATGATAACAGTATTTACTTCATTTGATAAGAAGATTGAATAGATTAATATTTGGAAGTTATTTAGAACTATGCCTGACATGTAGGTAGACCTTATATATTTGTTATACACAAATTAAAGAAATAAGGCCTGACTCGAGGGTTCACTTTCCCCTCACCTCTTAGATTTGTGGTGAGGATTTGAAGAGATATATGGGAGCACAGGGTAGATGCTGAATATTTGTTCATTCATTCACTTAGTAAATATTTATTGAGTAGCTACTATGTGCAAGGTATGGGAATTCACCCATGAACAATTCAGGTATAATCCTTGTCCCATGGACCCTGTGCCTTAGTCCAAGTGAGGTCCCTGGACCAGCAGTGTGGGCATCACCTGGGTGCTTGTTAGAAATGCAGAATCTTCCTCCCAGCCCAGACCCACTGAACCATTTTAACAAGACTCCCAAGTGAGCTGCACACATCCAAGTGTGAGAAGTCCAGGGCCAAGGGACGACTCCAGAGTGTCCGATACGGTGGCATTCTGCCAGGCACAGGGGGACAGAGGTGACTGGTCACAGCCCTCTTGCTTCCCTGAGCTACCCAGCCCCACCTCAGCTTCCCGATAAAATTCTCCCCTCCTCGGGACAGATTGGTAGGGTCGCTGGAGATGAGGTAGTTGGCTGTCTTGCTCCGTTTCCGTTTCCTGCCGGCCAAGAGGAACACCTGCAGAGATGGGCAGCCCGGTGGAAGAATGGGAAATGGAGATGGGGTGGAGGATGGAGGTGGGCGCCAGGAAAGAGAAGGCTTGTTTGAAGGCCCTCCCTCAGCCTGGGTCCTGGCACCTCCACTCTGTCTTACTCACCTTCTTCTCCGTGTCCAGGTGCAAGAAGTAGGAGGGATACAGGCCCCGGTCCATGCCCTTCTTGTCCCGGGTCAGTCTACAGCGTACTGTCCGGCCCTGGGGGGCAGGTCGAAGCACAAACTCCCGGGGCTCATCCACTTCCACAGGTGGGGATGGGGCCCTCTCCTCCTTCTGGGTGGGGGCAGAGGGTGCATCAGCCTCAGAGCACCAGCTCCCCTGCCCTCAGCAGATTCCCCGTGCCAGGACGCAGGCAGGGCAGGCAGAACAACTCACCGCTTTCTGTTTGGGGAGAGAACAGAGGCAGCTGGAGCGCGGTGGGCCCCTCCCCTCCCCCAGCAGCTCCCAAGGCCATGATAGGAGGCTCTGGAGAGCTTTGTGCTTTATTACTATTTTGTTTAGTTTGTGGTTAAGAGTCCAGGCTCTGGAGCCAGACAGCCTGGGTTCAAATCCTGGTTCCACCACTAACTGTCTGTCATGTTTGTTAAGTTTTAGCCACACTGTGACTCAGTTTTTTTCATCTGAGAAGTATATAAGGTGGATACCTGGGACAGACCTTATTTCGTTTATATATTTAAAAAAGACTCATATAAAGTCTACCTATGTGCCAGGCGTTGTTCTAAGCACTTTCCAAATATTAACTCCTCCCTCTTATCAATAGCTATTGGGGTAGTTACCCCATTTTACAGGTGAAGTCGCTGAGGCTCAGAGAGATTAAATAACTTGCCCAAGTTCACATAGCTAATAAGAGGTGAAGCTGAGCTTTGAATGATGCCCAGTGTCCTGTGAGATCCAGAGGCTTTAGAAAGACTTTCCATCATGTGGCTGGTCTCAGGGGGTGAACTGAGGTGAGACTGAAGGTATGGATTGCTGTGTTCTAAGCACATAGTTTTATTGAAGCATTAGCTATTACTCTTATTATAGCAGACAGTAAATACACAATGAATGTAGTAACCAGCCTAGAAGATGGCCCCTGGTGTTCCCTGCCTCCTGGTATTTACACCCTGTGTAGTCCCCTCCCACACTGTATCAGGGTTGGTCCAACAGAATATGGCAGAAGTGGCGGGTGGTCACTTCTAAGGTGCAGTCATAGAAGATCTTGGGGCTTCTGCTTGGCTCTATCTCTTGGGACAGTCTTGGGCTCTGGGGTAAGGTGGTTGCCATGTCATAAGGACACCCAAGCAGCCCTAAGGAGAGGCCTCCAGCCCACCATCACGACAATGAATCATTTTAGAAGTGAAGCCTCCATTACCAGTCAAGCTTTCAGGATGACCACAGCCCCAGCTGGTATCTCGACTGCTAAGCCACCCCTAGACTTCTGACTCACAGGAATTAAGTGAATAAATGTTTGTTGTTTTAAGACATTAAATGCTCGGGTGGTTTGTTATATAGCAATACATAATCAATACAATGAATGAATAAGCTCATTTTGCTCACGGAAAAACTCTTAATAATAACTATTAGGTTGCATTAGGCCCTAGGGGGGCCTGGCCCCGTGACCCCACCATTGCCCCTTTTGTTCTCACAAACCTAGTGCCCTTTGCCCTCATATTCTGATTCTAACCCCAACTTCCCAGCAGGGGAGAGAAGGAACTGTCACCTGGGTGTGTGTATTTGAGGATTAAATGCTATCTGGGGTTTAAGAGGCCCTCATGTGCTGTGTTTGCCTATTTATGCTGAGGGCAGGTTTGCACTGGGTGTCAGGCGAGGCTGGTGTTGGGGAGCAGGCCCTGAGCCTGTGGGTGAGTGGGCGTCTCTCCTCCACTCTAGGCTGCTCCAGAAGAAACTTGGGAAACCCAAGACTGGGTTTGGAATGTGACGTGAAGAAAACCAGAACTCACTGAAACATTTCTGCAGCAGTGAATTTCAATGGCCTGCTGCATTGAAGGCTATGCTACAGTTCTATTTCTCCTGGGAGATGACAAACTGGCCTTTCAGTTTATATATCAGTATCTGGCGATCTTGGCTAATGTGAATCAGTCCCCGAAGACCTGACCACTCCTGTACAAACGAATAAATCCACAAAGGTAAGACCTTGGCCCTGTCCTCAGGGTGATCTCTCCACTCCGGGAAACCTGTTTCTCAGAGACTCATCACTTTCTCTCTCCAGTTGGACCTCTCTCTCCTGCTTAGTCCAGCTCGTGCATGTTGGTACCTGAGTCCTGTTGTGAGTGGGGGCAATATTCAAAATATTTAACAGTGTGTTCTGCCTATGGAGAATGCCCAATCAGAATGGACACTGGTGGCCTGGAGGGGGGTCCTAGAGGTCCCTGATGGCCAGGGTTAGCCCTTTCGTTGCTGGAAGGTTGGAAGGTCCTGGATGGGAGAGCAGAAAGTACTCTGAGCAGGATCTCAGAGAAGCAGGGTGACAATATTTTAATAACTCAGGTACAGCTGGCTGTCAGTGTGCCCAAGGGTGTGCGCGCATATGCTGAGCTGCCTGTTCCCCACCTCCCTGGTACAGAAAATGTGCTTCTCTTCATGGAGGGCCATGGAGCATCTCTAGCTGTGTCTGATGGTTAGGCTGCGGGAGGAGGGCTCAGAGCAGATGACATAAAGCCCTCAGGTAGCTGGGTGACCCCACGACTATCTCTTCTGTTCTCACAAGCCTGTATGTCTTTGTCTTTGTATCCTGTCACCAGAGGGGGAACCAAGATTCCAACACCAAGTGACTCCACAGCCCCAGCCCATGAAGTTCCACACTCCAGTCCCCCAAGACCAGGCCCCTGCTGCTGCTGCCTGAAGGGGCCTCACCCTCTCCCCTCTGGGCTCCAACCTTTTTGCCTTTTCCTTTTGCTTTCCCCTTCTGATTGCTGTTCTTGGTCACCACAGCTGCTGTCTCTTCCTTCTCATCCTCTTCCTCGTTCCTTTCCTCCTCTGAGCCTTTGGGAGTGCCTGGGTGTGGAGGGGGGCAAGCCTGTTAACCCCTTACTCTGGTGGAGCACATCATGGTTTGTGAGGTGCTTCCAATACCCATGTCTCACATGGACCCTTCCCATAACCACAAGAAAGCAACCCTATATTACTATTATCAGAGCCTCAGAAAGGCTAAGACAGCTGCCTGAGGCCACACAGCTATTAAAGTGGGGTTCAAGTTGGGGTCAGTTCCCCTCAAGTCTTCTAATTCCAGAACCCATACTCCTTACCCTATGCTGCATTCCACCCCCCACCCCCTGTCCCCCTGCCACTGGATGTCACAGCACCAGAGGCCACTGCCACTCACCTTTCTTCTTCAGAGCTTTCTCCGCTGGGCCATCCTGCCCAACCAAAAACATAGCTGCTGGCATCTTCTTCCTCACTCTGGTCGGGCTTGTTGAGTGGTCCTTGTCAGCCTCCCCGGACCCTGCGTGTGTGGATGTGAAGGGGTCACAACCCCCACCACACCCAGAGTCCCTTGTTCCTCTGCAGATCAGGCTCACCTTTCTTCTTTATCTTTCTTATTTTGGTTCCTTCCCCTGTTGGCACCTCCTTCTTCTTAATGCGCAGAGGTTTTGGTGGGGGGACAGGGCTTCCCAGGTCACCTGGAAATGCAGGGTGGGCATTAGACAAAGAAGAGCCACCTTCCAACCCATTCATTGTTTCTTCAGTCCCCAGGGAGGCCCAGAGCACCTTCTGCATATCTTTTTAACCCTGAGTCCAGAAAGGGCTGGATGAACACAAGGAGTTTAATAAGTAAGTAATGAATGAATGAATGAATGCCAGACATTCTAACTGAACCTCGGAATCCCAGCTCCCACCTCATCTACCCCAGAAAACCTCTTCTGGCCAGTGCTACAGACAGTCCTCTCTCCCTCCCAGAGGCCTGAGGTCCTAGCTGCCTGTTGATATTTAGACCAGACCTCAGTACCAGTAGGGTGAGGAGCCCCAGCCAGGGAGCCATCACAGCATTTATTCAGTGATGGATTTTTACTGTAATCACTTTGATACTTTTATAAAAATCATAACAATAATTCATATTGAGTTAAAAAAAACTAAAAAGATCACAAAGAACACTGAAATCCTCTACCTTTCCTGGCTCACAGAGCATCCTATGCAGGGGGCAGAGGGGATGGTTGAGGTGAGCACATACTGATCTGTGACTTGAAGGACCATGGGAGGGGAAGAAACCACCAAAGGGAAAAAACTCTTGGGCCCAGGCACTGGGTAGCTTTGGATGTCTCAACTCCTGTGTATCCATGAGACCCTGGGCCCCTCAGAGGCAGGACTCATTTTTTGTGTCTCTGTCCCCTCTGTGTCCTCAACACTGACCCTTCAGATCCTGGGCCTTGGCCTTCCTCTCCTTGACATCTGCAGAAGCCTTCTCTTTAGGGGGCTTCTTGGGAGGCAGATGGATTTTCTCTTTCTTTTCCTCCTCCCCCTCTTTGTCTTCATCTTCGAGGTCCTCCTCATCCTCCTCCTCATCCCCTGTAGGTAGAAACTCCTCATAATGGGGGCTAGGGTGGACCCCATTATCTGGGGAGCCCAGTTCTCCAGATTGCTGGGAGATGGTGAAGGAGGCCAGGGGTAGGAGGCTCCCCTTCTGGAACAGAAACGGGAGGAAGAAAGGAGTTTTGACACTCCTCAAAGAATGGGGTGACCCCAGAGTATTCCCAGGCCTCCCAGTCAGGAGAGAGAGCTGGAGTTGGGGGATGCTGGGGGCTTGGCAATCCTGTTCTGGGAAAATGCCCTTCTCCACAGGTCCCTCATCGCTCTCTGGGACCCTCAGTTCCTCAACACACTCTCCAAGCATCTTTCAGTTTCCCCTTCTCTGCCCCTTCTGAGACACTTGTGCTGTTTCTCCCACTCTTTCTTCCTCTCCTTGTCTGTCTCTGTTTCTGACCTCCAGCCAGACCCATCTGAGCTACCTCTGGACCCTGGCTGTAATTTAAGGCAAAACTCTTAATCTCCTTGGGTCTCGGTTTCCCCATCCGGGAAGTGGGGGCAAGAACACGGGAATAAAGGTTTTTCTAGCTCAAAGGCAAGGCCATAGACCCCGATGCTGTTTTTCTGAGTTTTCTGCCTCTCTCGGTCTGCTGTTCCCGACCTGCCCCTTCCCTCCTCCTCTCCAGTTGCCCTCTTACTGCCCTTTCCTCGGGCCCTCTCTCACCGTCCTCCGCGTCTGGGGCGCGGGCTACCAGGAAGGTCTCCCGGGGGTCGCGCTTCTTGGCTTCGGGGTCCCTGAGGAACTTGGTGTAGACCGTCTGCGGCGCCTGGGCCTCCGCCGGCTCCTGGACGGGCTCCTCCCGCGGCCTCCCCCTCCGCCCCGCTGAGCCGAGATGCGCAGGTCAGGAGGGACCCGACCCCTTCCTCCGTCGGCGCCCCACTCCTCCTCAGGCTCTTCACTCTAGGGGGCTCCCCTGGACTCTGTTTCCCCACCTTGGACACCCCCTCCCGGCCTTCATGCATCCCTCCACTGCCTCTACCCTCAGCTGAACCCCAGCCCCGCTTCCCCGCTCCCACCCCTTCACTTCCTCCTACCCCCGACCCCCACCACGGAGAGAGCTCCTGGACTCAGCGACAGACACCTCGGGTCCTTCCCTTCCGTGACCCTCACCCTGGGGGGCACCCCGGGGCTCGGCCCCCCTCCTGCCTCCAGGTCTCCGGGGCTTGGATCCCGTGGGGCAGGGGGACTCAGGGGCCTCTGTCCTCTTCTTCCTCAACTTCTGTCGCTGCGAAGTGGGGGTCAAAGAGGAGGGGGAAGAAAGAAAGGGGGGCTCTGAGGGCTGCCCAGCACCCTCTAATCCTTTGAGCCGCCAGGAATAACCGCAGATTATCGTGAGGGGAACTGCGTCCCTTCTTGGGGTGAGGAAGGATGACCCCTGCTGTGCATCATGGCCACTTCTAATGCCCAAAAGCCCAAATTCCTCCCCCCAACATCCCTTTCCTGCAAAAAACAAACACCACCAAAACCCAAAACCAAAACCCTTCAGGGAAGCAACAACACCCAGACGCTGCTGAGGGGGATGCGCCCCACTCCCAGATCCCCTACCCTGCGTGGGTTTACAGTTGGGGCTCTTTCTGCCTCCTTTCCAAGCAGGGGTGACATACCTGCTTGGTGCGCTGCTGCACCGGGCTCCGATCTTCCTCCTCATGCCCGCTGAGGATAGCAAAGGAATCAATCTGTCCCCCTCCCCTTTTCCTGTCCCTCCCTAACCCTTCCATCTGGGCCTCCCAGGATTCAGGTAGGCGAGGTGGGGGCCTTCCAGACCTGTCCGAGGCCCACACCTCTCGGAGGGTGTCGTCCTGCAGTGGCATGGTGCCTTTGCCTATCCACACCCCGTCTCCAGCCACTCTGCAGCCCTGGAAGCTTCCAGGCCCGCCCCAGCTAATCCTGGCTTGGCTCAACTTCACCCCCACCTCTCACTGGCTCAAGACAGTGGCAGCACTGTGGTGTGGGAGGTGCCCATGCCCAGAACCCACCCCCCTGCCTAGCCCACTGAGGGAAGAGGCTAGACTCCCAAGTTCTCAGATCCTTAGCAGGCTGAAAGATGGCATCACTGTACCAGGTACCCCTACACTCCACCAAGCTGAGCTTTGGGTTAAAGATGCTGATTTATAATTTGCTGGTGGTAAATGGGGCATGGGAAGAAAACATAAGATCAGATCCTGATCCTGTATTTATTTTCCTTTTTTATAAAAAAAATAAGAACTAGGATTTACTAGTATTTATTACATATGTTTTTTTTTTGGAGGGGAAGGTAATTAGGTTTTAATATTTGTTATATATGGATTGGCAGATACGTGTATATACTTTATAAAGGAATATGCCTATATTATGGATGTACACTTAACTTTTTTTTTTACTGATTTTTTTACATGCTTTTTTAAAAAATTTAGAGACAAAGGATATAATGTTGTGTGATTAATATCATGGGGAAGGTTTGGTTAAGTTCTGAGGAAGTCCAGAGGAGGGTCCCTTAGGGGTCCTCGAGGCTTCCTGAAACCTGATCTATAACTCTAAAACGAAACTTGAAAGGTGAGTAGGAGTTCTGCAGCCAAAAAAAAGTGGACTGAACTGTACTTGGAGAGGGAACAGCAAGATAAAGACCTAGGGTTGGAAATAGATATGTTCAAAGGTCTAACACTAGGAGGGAGGCAGCCATCTTGGGCATGTCAGCCCCTGAGCCCCAGCCCTGAGCTCTGCCACTTAAGAGCTGAACATCTCTGGGTGACTTACTTAGCCTCTATGGGCCTCTGTTTCCTCATTTATAAAATGGGTTTGATAATAATTCTGACCTGGTACGGGTGTGTAGGTTGAATGAGATGGCTGGTGGAAAGCTGCAACAGTGAGCACTCAATCACTGCTAACTGTCTGCCCCTTTGCAGGGCACTTCCACTTCATCTCTGTCTCCTCCACCTATACCACATAACTTGACACATGATTGGGATTCATTTTTTTAAATGAGTAAATTAATGAACACGTTCTTTATTTCATTTGATTCTCACAAGAGTCCAATGAGATAGGCGAGTTAAAGATTTTGTCTCCATTTTATAGATGGAGAAACTGAGGCTCAGGGAGGTGAAGTGATTTGCTCAGTGTCAGCCAGATGGTAACCAGATCTGTTTTGTGTCAGAGCTTTTGCTTTTATATTGTATACACTCACACGATTAGAGCTGGGATTTGAATGAAATGGTCAGTGTTTTTCTCTTTTTCCATTTCCTTAGCCCACCTGATCCAGATTTGCCATAATTAGTCTTTCTCAAATACCACCTCTTCAGTTGACACCTTTGCTCAAAAAAAGTCATTGGCTCCCAACTGCCTCAGGATCAGGTTTAAATGTGCTGGATTGGCATTCAAGGTTCTCCCTGATCTGGCTCCAGTCTGCCTTTCCAACTGCAGGGCTGTCTCAAACTCCACTCTTCATCCAGCCACATAGGTTTACTTATTGCCTTTATACTTCCTCTCCTCCATGCCTGTGCTCAAGCTCTTCCCTCCTGGAATGCACTCCCTGTTCCACGAAGCCTATCTGACTCCAAATAGCCCTCAAGTTCCCACCTCCAAGATTTCTTGATCCTCACCTGCCTCTGAATGTGTAGTAACCATAACAGATTTTATTGAACACCCACTGTGTGTCAGGTCCCTTGTTCCCATTCTCTCTCCACCCTCACAATATTTATGAGGCACACATTAGCACCCTGATATTAAAGGTAAGAAAACACGCAGCTGAGAGTCAGTCAACAAGCATTTCCTGGGCACCGACTATGTGCCAGACAGTTGGTGATACAGTGATGAACAAAAGGATGTGGCCCCTGCCATCATGGAGCTTCCGTTCTGGGGAGAAAGACAGAGAGTAAAGCCATGAATACACAGATTAGTTCTGACGATCTCATTATTAATTGTAATAAATGCCAAGAAGGAAAAAAAAAACTGTGTTCCCTGAGAATAGCAGGGGGGATCCAGTCTGGATTTAGAGGACAGACAGGGCTATCTGAGAAGAGAATTAAAAATTTTTTTAATTTTCTGTTGAAGTGTAGTTGTTCCACAATGTTAGTTTCAGGTGCACAGCAAAGAGATTGTTATACATGTACAGACATATGTATATTTTCTTTCCAGATTCTTTTCCATTATAAGTTATTATAAGAAATTTAATACAGTTCCCTGTGCTATACAGTTGGTCCTTGTTGTTTATCTATTTTATATATAGTAGTGTGTATCTTTTAATCCCAAACTCTTGATTTATCCCTCCTGCACCCTTTCCCCTTTGGTAATCATAGTTTGTTTTATATGTCTGTGAGTCTGTTTTTGGTTTGCAAATAGAATTTCTGTCATTTTTTTAAGATTCCACATGTAAGTGATGTCATATGATATTTGTCTTTCTTCATCTGACTTCACTTAATATGATCATCTCTAGGTCCACCATGTTTATGCAAAAGGCATTATTTCATTCTTCTTTATGACTGAGTAATATTCTATTATATATCTATACCACATCTTCTTTATCCATTCATCTGTTGACGGACATTTAAGTTGTTTCCATGTCTTGGCTATCGTAAATAATGCTGCTGTGAACATTGGGGTGCATGTGTCTTTTCGAATTATAGTTTTCTCTGGATATATGCCTAGGAGTGGGATTGCTGAATCATATGGTAATTCTATTTTTAGTTTTTTAAGGAACCTCTGTACTATCCTCCATAGTGGCTGCACCAATTTACATTCCCATCAACAGTGTTGGAGGGTTCCTTTCTCTTCACACCTTCTCCAGCATTTATTATTTGTAGACATTTTAATGAGAAGAGAATTTTAAAACTGAGACTTGAAGGATTTCTAAGACTAGGAAAGAGAATGGTCCAGGTACAAGGCACAGCTTAGGCAAAATGTTTCCAGGCAGCAAAGAACTTGGCATCATGGAGCAGTATGCCCCCTCAAACAGGACAAGAGTGGTCCCGCCTAAGAATGGTGCTTTAGAGGGTTCCAGGGAATCTCAAACTTCAAATAAATCCACACCAAGAACCACAGGGACAGACTGTAAATGTAAACATACGAGTTCTAACACTGCTTAGGGCCCCAGGAATACTTCTTCGCATCTCTTGCCCACTGTTCTGAAAACCAAAGTTCCCTGCACTGGACTGTGGGAGAAGTGTGGGCTGATCCTGGGCCCAGTACTTGGGAGTTGGGGTTGGATCTGTGCAGCAGAAGCCTTTAAGTGAAAGAAAAAATAAGTTCATTTCTCAGATCTCTCCTCTAGGGTTGCATGGATGTGACAGATGCTTGCATAACAAAGTGTCCATTTACTTGCTTCTTTTCCTGTTCTGAAGGTTCTCATGAATCAGCACTGTATTCATAACAGTTGCACATGGCAGCTGAGGAACACTTTACAGTATTAAGCCATTCCCATGACTTAGATTTGTACATATGTAAGTCTTTGTGAAATGTAGTAGTGCTTCTTTATGTTGGGAAATAGCAGGACATTGGATGCTATTTTGGGAACAGTTCAGTTTTTCTAAAAGTATTTAATAAGATGGAGTTAAAGTTTCTAAAACCATTTAAAATTTGATTTTTTTTGGCTGTTTATTAAGTATAAACTCTATGTCTTTAAATTTTAGTACATAATTTTGACTATGTTAGAAGAAAAGTCACTTTTGAAAACATACATGAAAAATAATTTTAACTAAAAAGGTTAACATTTACTTAGTTACTTTGGAGGAGAATGTATTCAAATTTTGTATACTTTGAATGCAATTACATGTTTTTTAATCCCTTGAGAGTTATTCCAGATCCAGATCTTAATAGGAACAGAAAGTAGCAAAGTGGAACTCAGAAAAGAGTAAAAGGAAATGTAAGCATTTGGTAGGGGCTAGAGTGGTGAGCATGTGTGGGGAAAGCAGATGCAGTGTAAATGTTCAGATTTGGGTTGGAGATGGGTGGGGTGAGGGTTGGGCATCCAGATATTGGTGCAAATGAGGGTGAGCTTAGGGTAAAATTCAGATAAAAAAGACTGATAACTTCTTGTACCTTCTGATCTGACACCAGGCCTCTCCAAAAGAAAAACAAGCCTGAGGCTTTATAATTACACCTTGTTTTGGTCTAAAAATGACATTTCTTTGCTTTATCACTGGCATTAGTCACCAGACTCAATTCCACAGAAATTTAGCTGCTTTCTAAAATTAAGTCTACTTTCAGAAGACAAAGATTTGCTACCACCAATGACTATCATGCTGGTAAATAATGACTCCTACCATGTGTTTGGCATTGTGCCCAGGGCTTTCAATTCATTCTTACAACACATGGCACAGCCTGCAGCTCAGAGAAGTTAAGTGACTTGTCTAAGGCCACACAGCTGGTGCTTGGTGGAGTACCATCGACAGCACATACTCAGTGCCTAGGATTTACTTGTGTCATCTCTCGTCCCTAGGGAAACTGTGAGAGGCAAGTGGGCACATTACTTCACCTCTCTATGCCTCCGTTTTCCAGCTGGTAAAGTGGTGATGGTAATTGTACCTGACTTTATGGAAGCTGTGAGAATGAAATGGATTGAGACATGTATGGTGCTTAGTGCAGAGCCTGGCGCACAACAAGTGTCCTATCAAGGACAGCTGTGTGGTGCTTTCCCTTCATTTTACAGATAAGGAAACTGAGGCCCAAATCTCTAAGCACCTTGACCTTGGGCCTCCTTGGCTCAGCCTCTGTGGTGCAAAGGTGAAAAGTCTGAAACAGTGGGTAAGAGCTGGAGATTCTGCCCAGAAACAGACCGAAGCATCCGGCTTCCCCATGTCCCAGCTGGGTGACCTTGGGCAAGCTTTCCCCCTTGCTCAGA